GTGTGTCTATATTGTATAATTTATATGCAATAAATTACACTGTATGCTGTGATGTTTTGACACATGTATACAGCTGTGAAACAATTACTACAATCAATATAGTGAATATACTCATCCCAAAGGTTTCCTCCTGCCTTTTCTGTAATCCCACTTTTTTCCCCATTATCCCTTGTTCTGTTTAATTTTTTGTCACTATAGTTTGTATTTCTTATATAAAAGAAACTATACAATATGTGCTATGCTTTTGGGTTGGCATCTTTCCTTCATAAATTTTTAGAGTGACTCTGGTTGTTGTGTGTATCAATAGTTGATTCCTTTTTGTGGCTGAGTAATATGCCATTGTATGAATGTATTACAGTGTCCACCTGTTGAGGGGCATTTGGGTTGTTTCTAATTTTTGGCTACTACAAATAAATCATTTGTGTAAATCCTTGTATAGATGTATGCTTTCTATTTTCTTTGATAAATTTCCTCGAAGTAAAATGACTGGATGTCATGGTAGGTATACGATTAACTTTTTAAGAAAATGTCAAACTGTTTTCCAATTGGTTGTACCATATACTTGCCAATTAGTAGTGTATGAGAGTTCTAGTTCCTCACGTCCTCACCAACACTTGATACTGTTAGTTTGTTAAATTTTAGCCATTATAATAGGTATGTAGTAGTATCTTGTAGCTTTAATTTGCATTTTCCTAATAATGTTGAGTATCTTTTTATGTCCTTATTTGCCACTTACATGTCTTCTTTGGTGAATAACCTGCTTAAATCTTTTGCCTATTTTTTAATTGGGTTGTTTGGTTTTTTTACTATTGAGCCTTGAATGTCTTTTTTTGTTTTGTTTTTTGTTTTGTTTTTTGAGACAGTCTTTCTCTGTTGCCCAGGCTGGAGTGCAGTGGCACGATCTCAGGTCACTGCAACCTCTGCCTTCTGGGCTCCAGTGATTCTCCTGCCTCAGCCTTCTGAGTAGCTGTGACTACAGGTGCGCACCACCACGCCCGGCTAATTTTTTGTATTTTTAGTAGAGATGGTTTTTCACCATGTTGTCCTGGATGGTCTCAAACTCCTAGCCTTAAGTGATCCGCCTGCCTCAGCCTCCCAAAGTGCTGGGATTATAGGCGTGAGCCACCTTGCCCAGCCCAAGCCTTGAGAGTCTTTAAAAATATATTCGGGATACAAGTCATTTACCAGATATTTGCTTTGCAGTTATTTTCTTCCAGTCTCTAGCTTGTCTTTTAATTCCCCTTAAGAGTGTCTTTTTAAACATTTTTATAAATTTAGGTGGTACAAGTGCAGTTTTGATACAAAAGCATCTTTGGAAAGAGGAAGTTTTTTTTGTTTTTGTTTTGTTTTTTTTTTTTTTTGAGACAGAATCTCACTCTGTTGCCCAGGCTGGAGTGCAGTGGCACGATCTCGGCTCACTGCAAGCTCCGCCTCCTGGGTTCACGCCATTCTCCTGCCTCAGCCTCCCAAGTAGCTGGGACTACAGGCACCCACCACCACGCCTGGCTAATTTTTTGTATTTTTAGTGGAGATGGGGTTTCACTGTTAGCCAGGATGGTCTTGATCTCCTGACCTCATGATCTGCTTGCCTCAGCCTCCCAAAGTGCTGGATTAGAGGCATGAGCCACTGCGCCCAACCAGACATAAGTTTTTAACTTAGATGAAGTCCAGTTTATCAATTTGTTTTCTTTTATGGATTGTGTTTTTGGTGTCATACTAAAAATTATTTACCTAACTCAAGGTCACAATTATTGTGTCCTATTTTCATCTAGAAGATTAATAGTTTTATGTTTTACATGGAGGCCTGTGATTCATTCTGAGTTAAATTTTGGGTATGGTATATGGAATGGATCCGAGTTCATTTTCTAAAACATACTGATATTGAATTGTTCCAGCACTGTTTGTTGTAAAGACAGTCTAGCTCAATGTTTGTCAATGTTGTTGATCTTTTCAAAGAACTGTTTATTTTTCTTTATTCTATTTTTATTCTATTGATTTCTGCTTTAATCTTTATTACTTCCTTTTTTCCCCATTGCTTTGGGTTTAATTTATTCTTTTTTTTTTTTTTTTTTTTTGAGACTGAGTCTTGCTCTGTCGCCAGGCTGGCGTGCAGTGGCGCGATCTAGGCTCACTGCAACCTCTGCCTCCTGGATTCAGGCGATTCTCCTACCTCAGCCTCCCGAGTACCTGGGACTACAGGCGCGTGCCCCCACACCCAGCTGATTTTGGTATTTTGGGTGGAGACGGGGCTTCACCATGTTGGCCAGGATGGTCTTCTGGCAGTTTTTCTAGATACAGCTGTGACTCTCCAGATTGTCTGATAGAAAGCGGGTCTCTTGACCTCATGATCTGCCCACCTCGGCCTCCCAAAGTGCTGGTATTACAGGCATGAGCCACTGTGCCCGGCCTCTTCCTCTTTTAATATAAGATGGAATAAGGTATTAATTTGACATAATTCTTCTTTTCCGGTTTAGCCTCTTTTTTTTTTTTTTTTTTCCTCTTGAGACAGGGTCCCACTCTGTCACCCAGGCTGGCTAGTGTGCAGTGGAGCAGTCATCTCAACCTCCCCAGGCTCAGGTGATCCTCCCTCCTCAGCCTCCCGAGTAGTTGCAACTAGAGTCGTGTGCCACCATACCCAGCTGATTTTTGTATTTTTTGTAGAGACGAAGTTTTGCTATGTTGCCCGGGCTGGGCACAAACTCCTGGGCTCCAGCAATCCACTGGCCTTGGGTCCCCAAAGTGTTAGGATTACAGGCGTGTGCTACTGCACCCGGCCTAATTTAGTCTTTTAAAGCTATATGTTTCCCTCTAAGTATTCCTTTAGCTACATTTCATAAATTTTTATATGTTTTGTTTGTTTTCACTCATTTCAAAACATTGCCTAACATCCATTATGATTTATTCTTTGATCTATGGGTTACTTAGAAGTGTGTGTTTGATTTCCAGGTATTTGTGGCTTTTCCCCTAGTTTTTAATTGATATTAATTTTTAATTCTGTTGTGGTTTGTATGACTTTAGTTTCATGTATTTTGGAGCTCTGTTAGATGAATATACAATATATAAGGAATGTATATATTGACCTTTTTATCATTATAATACATCTTTCTTTGTCTCAATTTATATTTATCTTAAAGTCTATTTTGTTTTTTTATCAATATAGCCACTCCAGCTCTCTTATGGTTACTGTTTACATGATGTATCTTTTTCCGTTCTTTTACTTTCAACCTATTTGTATCCTTGAATCTGAAGACAACATATAGTTGGATTTTGGTTTGACTGTAACATTTTATCCATTCACATTTTAATGTAATTACTCAGTATGGCTGACTGCTATTTAAAAATTTTAAAAATTGAGATATAAGTCATGTGACATTAAATACATTTTAAAATGTACAAGTCCGTGATTTTTAGTATATCCACTAATGAGGTACAGCCATCACCACTATTAAGTCTGTCATTTTGCTATTTAGTTTCTAGATGTCTCATGTCTTTTTTGTTCCTCTGTTCCTTCTTTACTACCTTTTTTGTGTTATATGAATATTTTGTAGTAAACCACTTTGATTCCTCTGACTTTTAAATTTTTTCTGTTATTTTTCTTAGTGCCTTCTCTGGATACTATAATATGCATCTTAATTTATTATTTCAGATTAACACTAATTTAATTATGGAAAAATAGAGAAACTTTGCACCAATATAGCTCCATTTTCTCCCAATATACTCACATGCACACATACGTGCATGCATGCACACACATACACACACACATACATACATACGCACATACACACACACACACACTTGACCCAATAATATAATTACTGCTTTATATATTCATCTTTTAGAGAAATTAAGAGGAGAACTGAGGAAAATACATACTTATTTAGTCTTACATTTATGCATCTATTTACCACTTATACAGTTCTCTTCATTCTTAACGTGGATGCAAGTTAACATATGGTAGCAACTTTCTTTTGGTTAATGGTTGTGTGGTATATGTTTTCCCATCCTTTTACTTTCACCCTTTTTATATCCTAGTAGTTAAAGTGTTTTTATTGTAAGCAGCATATGGTTTTTCCCTGTCATTTGGGGCAATCTTTTCTTTTAGTTGTAGAATTTAGTCTTACTTGTAGATACTAATGTATTTGGGTTTAATATGCCATGTCACTATTTGTTTTCTATTTGTCCCTCAAGTTATATGTTCTTTTTTCTCTCTTTCTTGCTTTTAGACTTCTGAAGTGTTTTTGTTTGCTTGCTTTAAATCTGTTTTTCTCTTACCTTGTTGAGTTTTTTTTAAACCATAATTTGCTGATTAACTCAGAAATTACAAAATGCATGATTGACTTATCAAGATCCAGTATAAGTGAGTACTTCTACCACTTCAAGGACCTAAAGCACCTTAGGTACAGTTACCATCATGTCTCTTTTTTTTTTTTTTTTTGCTATTGTTGTATATTTTAATTGAACATCTATTTTATACTTCATTATATATTATTATTATTATTTGTAGTCATTCTTGATTTAGAGTTACCCACATATTTACATTTCTCCTTTCCATTAGTCTTCATTTACTCTGGCATCTTTGTGCTTCCATGTGGGATCATTTGCCTTGTGCCTGAAGAACTTCTCCTGGTATCTCCTTTAAGTGTGGGTCAACTGATGATGAAGTCTCTGGTTTATTTTTGTCATAAAATTTTTCTTTATTTCTCCTTCATTTTAAAAACATATTAATCTCAGCTATGAAATCCTATGTTGACAATTATTTTCTTTCAGTACTTAAAAGTTATTATTCAGTTGCCTCCTAGCTACCATGTTTCTATTGAGAAGTCAGTTTTCAGTTTACTGTTTCCCTTTAAAAATAATACACCTTTTCTTCACTGGCTCCTTTGAAATTTTTTTTTTTTTTTTTTTTTTTTTTTTTTTTTTTTTTTTTTTTTTTTGGTTTTCAGTTTTACCTTGTTAATCTGTTGCTTAGTTTAATCTGTTCGGATTTATTATTGCTCTTGAACCTACAACTTGATGTCTTTAGTCAATTTTGGAAAATTGACTTGGCCACTCTATTTTTATGTATTGGTCCTGCTCCATTCTCTCTTCTCTTTCTCAAACTTCAGTTATCTCTGTGTTAGACCATTTCACAAGCCTAATAATGCCTTGTATGTGTATTATGCTTTTCTCTGTGTTCTTTATCCTTTTGCTTAACCTACCTCAGTCTGGATATTTTCCTCTGACCTACATTCCACACTTGTGTGTAATATGCTCTTTAGCCTATCCATTGCATTGTTTCCAATTTTTTTTTCATTTCCAGAATTTCCATTTTATTTACTTTTGCAGTTTCAAATTTTCTGCCAAAATGCTCCAATTGTCATATATTGCTTTGAACAAATTAATCAGTTATAGTCTGGATTTGACAATGCCAGTACTTCAGTCTCCCCTTGGTCTCTTCTTTACAGTCAGCTTTTCCCCCTTGGTTTTCAGTCTGTTCTTAACTCTTTGTATGCCTGAGTACTTTTTTATTGTGTGCTGGATGTTATGATTGCAAAATTATAACACTAATTTGTAACCTGAGGCTCTGGATGGTATCTTCCTCCATATGGAATTTACTTTTGCTTCTGGCAGTTTTTCTAGATACAGTTGTGACTCTCCAGATTGTCTGATTGAAAGGACAGAAACAACTGGTTCAGGAGCCCTTGCCAGCCTCTAGAGAAATCCCAGAACACTCAGTCCTGACACATTAATACCCTGCACAGATCGGAGACTGCTGGCCACGCAGACTCACCAAGCCACAGACTTGTCTTCCACAAGCATGTTCTTACGTCAGCTACGAAGTGACCAAGCCACATGTACTAAGGGTGGAAATCAAAGATATGTACAGGGTATTAAACAAATACCAAGGGGAACAGTTAACTTGAATACAAGGTCAAAATCAGCCACAAGTTCTACGATCCAGTGCTGATATCAGATACTAGCTTCAAGGACAGTTTCTTTTCAAAGGCTTATTCCAGATTTGTGATATATGCATTTGCCAGGGACAAATTTATACTTCTGAATTAACCAATGCAGCAAAAGCTTTGCATCTGCTCACAGTCTATTTAGAAGCATTTGTGGTGAACAATGGAGGGGCCCAATTTGTCATATTCCTGCTTGCTAATCCACATCTGCTGGAAGGTGGACAGTGAGGCCAGGATGGAGCCGCCGATCCACACTGAATACTTTCAGTACTTTCGCTCTCAGGGCGCAATGATCTTGATCTTCATGGTGCCAAGTGCCAGGGCAGTGATTGCCTTCTGCATCCTGTTGGCGATGTGCGGGTACATGGTGGTGCCGCTGGACAGCACTGTGTTGGCGTACAGGTCTTTGAAGATGTCCACATCACACTTCATGACGCAGTTGAACGTGGTCTTGTGGATTCCGCAGGATTCCATGCCCAGGAAGGAAGGCTGGAACAGTACCTCCGGACACTGGAACCGCTAGTTGCCGATGGTGATGACCTGGCCGTCGGGCAGCTTGGAGCTCTTCTCCAGCTTTTTGTCATCAGCTGTAGCTGTTCTTTGTACCATCTTCTTTCTGTGAGTCGTACCCTTGCCGCCAGTCTGGACCTGATCCAGAAGTTTGGCTAACTTTTCTTGATTTATGCTGTTGGTTAATCTGAAGCAGAGAAGGTCCTCCAATTTCAGTGTGCAGCAAGAGCAAGATGGCTGCCCAGGAAGATTTCTTAAATAAGAAACAAAACCCACTAACCATAAATGAAAAAATTGATAAATTTGACTACATTGGAAATAATAATTTGTGTGTATCAAGAATTACCCTAAAGAAGGAGGGGAGACAAGTCACAAACAGAAAATACATAGCTGACAGAGGACTGATATCTATAATATATAAAGAAATCCTACAAATGTATAAGAAAAAGAAAAAACTAAAGGAAAATGGCCAGAAGACAAGTGGAAACACGACTTCAGGGTTTTCAGTCTCAATGAAATTAGAAAAGTAGCAAATTTAGAGCACAGTGAGATTCCATTTTATGCTACTAAGTTTATGGTGATTTTCTTTCTTCTCATCTCAGATACGTATACTATAAACTTTAGCATGCTGAACTTAAATGCAATTTTATTTTATTGTATACCTGGTTGCCACTGTATGATGCATTGTTGTTGCTGTTCTGCAGAATACTTTTCCTTCTCTTAGTGCAGTGGTTCTTAAAGTGTGGTCCCCAGACCAGAATCATCATCATCACCTGTGTACCTCTTAGAACTGCACATATTGGCCAGGTGCAGTGGCTCATGCTTGTAATCCTAACACTTCAGGAGGTTGCGGGTCGCTTGAAGCCAGGAGTTCAAGACCGGCTTGGCCAACATAGGGAGACCCCCCCCGCCCCCCATCTCCACAACAAGTTAAAAAAAAAAAATTAGCCAGGCATGGTGGTGCATACCTGTAGTCCTAGCTACTTGGGAAGCTGAGGCAGGAGGATTGCTTGAGCCTAGGAGTTTGAGGCTAGGATTGCACCACTGTACTCCAGCCTGTGGGTCAAAGAGTGAGACCCTCTTAAAAAAAAAAAAAAAAAAAAAAAAAAAAGCAAATATTTAGGTCCCACCTCACATATTCCCTATTTGAGATATAGTATTTCTCTCCATAGCAGAAGGCAGGTTTGCTTACAAGAGATTGAGGTTTCCTAAGCTCTGGGTTTCTTTCCTATAATGAAACCCACTGTGTGTGCAGATGTCACCTGGCCTTTGTCCCATCACCCTGTGGGAATTGGGCTTGAGGAACTAGTGTAAGAAAATGATACTGTGGCTATACTGCTGTTGCTCTGATTAAAAAACTGTCCTTTGTCTCTGAGTCTGTCTTTTGTCTGTATAAGTGACACTCTGGCAGGCTAACTTTTTAGCTTGCAGGTAGGATAAAAACCTCAGACATGTTCTTGATGCAAGTCCTCTTTCTTTAGTGTGCTGAAATGGGAATCATTGATTTGATACTTGTTAATGGGAAGCATACTATTGAGTAAGCTAAATGTATAACAAGACAGATACTTTTTCTGTTGTCAAATTTTGATGTTCAAATATTCTTTAAAATGTCTCCAGTACCCTAGTTTTAGTTCCATCTTTAATTTACTTATTCATCAGTTAGTTCTCTGTATTCTTTTTGTTCTTAATTTTCTCAGATTGTTGCACCATTAGAAGCTAGGGTGATCTACAGACAGACAGATGGCTGAAAGTGGAAAAGAAAAAATAAAATGGACAACCACCATTATTATTAGCTCATCTCTTAAGGTAAAGGGGCATTTGGGCCACTGATCTTTAACTTAAAAAAATTAAAAGCAGCTTTCATATGGAACAATATTTTAAAAGTTTCTTAGCTTGATTGTCCACAATTAGTTGTGGGGAGCAGGAAGTGCATAAGCTACATGTATTTTAAAGATAAATAAATAGACTTTTTGCGTTCATTTTCAACATCCTACTTCCTTAATTCTTTGAAGGTTGGAGATTTTCTAAAGTTCTTTTTTTTTCTTTCTGTAAGCACTCTAATGGAGATGTTAAGGAATTCCAGAAACAGTAAAGATATGCAGATATATATTAGTTAAGGCTTTTTGAGAGCTAAAGAACCAGAAACTGATATTCTAGCCTTGGCAGCATTGGAATGAGACTGTCTCCTTACAGTTTGGAGAGGGAGAGATGGAAAGTTGAATGCCTGAGAGTAGGTGGTCAGCTCACAACCCTCAGCTCACAGGACTTCTCCATTGCCCTAATATTTATCTTATGGGCACCAGCTGATGTCTGGAGTGAAGGGGCAAGAAATGATTGTTCCATAGTAAGGTGTGGTTTTATGGTTTTTGTTGTATTTTGTTTTATACTTTATTGTGAGTCTATTTTCATAAATTATATTTTTACAAACATTTACCCATTTTATAGAGGCTTTTAAATGTATTAAGTTGAACTTTATGAAATTTACATTTCTGTGGTGAAAAGTTTCATATTGTCATTCTTTAAATTTTCTAATAAACTGCCATTAAGTGCCCCTTTTCATTCCTGTTTTTACTTACATTTTCTTTCTTATGAGTGATGTGCTAGACATATTAGTTTTTGTTTCTTGTTTTTTTGAGATGGAGCTTTGCTCTGTCGCCCAGGCTAGAGTAGTGGCACAATCTTGGCTCACTGCAACCTCCGCCTCTCAGGCTCAAGTGATTCTCCTGCCTCAGCCTCCCAAGTAGCTGGGATCACAGGTGCCTGCCACCACGCCGGCTAATTTTTGTATTTTTAGTAGCGATGGGGTTTCACCACGTTGGCCAGGCTGGTCTCGAACTCCGATCCCCGCCCCCACCCCAACCTGCACGATGGCTTCCCAAAGTGCCGGGATTACAGGCGTGAGCCACTGCACCTGGCTGACATAATACTAGTTTTAAAGATTATTAATAGATGTTACATATGCAGGAAGGAGTATTGTATGGATTTTATTTTGGATGCTGCTATAAACAAAGTTAAACAAGTGTTTTTTGTTTTGTTTTGGTTAGGTTTTCTTTTTACTGCACTATTATTCAGAGACTTTAATATGTTCAAATGCATTATAAAACCCCCAAAAGAGATGAAATAATATTCAGCATTTCCCAGTCTTATTTCAGGCAGGAGCATCTTTTAATATCTAATAGGACTAATATTCTATGAAACGTATTTTGAAAAATTATACTTAGCTTCCTGGTCATTTTGATGAATCGGCTCTTGGACTTACCTATTGTTTTCTCAATTCAATACGTTCTAATTTTACCTTCATTATTTTTTTTAGCATTCCATTATTTTATTCTTTTAATTGGTTCCTCCTGATAATAGGATATTATTGAAATTCATTGGCATGATATATATGGGTGCTCATGATCTGCCAGCAATTATTCCTAACATTGTACCCAAATTATCTGACTTGTATATACTTTACCCACTCACCGTATAAGAACCATACCTTTAGGTCTGAATGCCTTTACCTTTGTTACTCTTTCTGTTCATACTCTTCTCATATTTGTCTTCTTCCTTCACTTGTCTGCCTAATACACTGCTTTTTATTTTAAAGATTTGACTCAGATTTTTTATTATATTATGTGTTTGTTTTTTAATTAGATAGGGTCTCACTATGTTGCCCAGGCCAGTCTTGAACTCTTGAGCTCAAGCAGTACATTGTCTTGGCCTCCCAAAGTGCTGGGATTACAGGCCTGAGCCACTGTGCCTGGCCCTATTTGAATCAAATTTTAGGGAGCTTTCTTAACTCATGTTTTTTACATTTTTAAACATATCTTCCTGTTCTTTGCCAAAATTCTTAAGCTATGTTTTATCTCCTTGATCATAATAAACAGGCTGTTTTAAGGTATGTATTTGATAGCTTCACTACATGCATCCCCTGTGGGCCTGTTTCTGTTCTCTATTGTTTCTGATAGTTTTCTTTCATGGAATTGTGTCCCTTTGTATGTCTGATTATTTTTTATTGTATGTTGGAATTTGTATTTGAAAAACTGTAGAAATAATTTGAAGCCTAGAATAATGCTATCTTCCCCTTGAGAGGTTTTAATTCTGTAAGAAAATTAAATTCCTGATGCCCTAAGTAGGGTTGCCAGATAAAATACAGGACACTCAAGTTTGAATTTCCAGCCAGGTGCGGTGGCTCACGCCTATAATCCCAGCACTCTGGAAGGCCAAGGTGGGTGGATCACTTGAGGTCAGGAGTTTTGAGACCAGCCTGGCCAACATGGTGAAACTCTGTCTCTACTAAAAATACAAAAATTAGCCGGGCATGGTGGTGTGTGCCTGTAATTCCAGCTACTTGGGAGGCTGAGGTAGGAGAATAATTTGAACCCAGGAGGCAGAGGTTGCAGTGGTCCAAGATTATGCCATTGCACTCCAGCCTGGGTGACAGTGTAAGACCCTGCCTCAAAAAAAATAAAAAATAAAAAAATAAAAAGTTTGAATTTCAGATAAACAGTGAATTTACTATAATTATGTCCCAAATATTACGTGGGACATACTTATACTGAAAATTGCATTGTTTGTCACACATTCACATTTAACTGAGTGTTGTGTTGTTTTTATTTGCTAAATCTGACAACCCAACTCCTAAGGCATCTCTTTTATATGATGAATTAAGTTGTATCCTGTACATCTAGAGTGTTGAATTAAATTGTCTCCTGTACACCTAGCCATGGGAGAATTGACACAATAGTCACTCAGATCATTTTCTTTGTTCCGTAATTCAGATGAGGAGACCTGATTGAGAAAGGTTGCTCTAGAGAGTGTTTCTACAAGGTGCTGGGAAGCACTGGTAATTCAGTTATCACCTTAATACAATTTCAGGAATTGAAATGGTTTGAAGCTGGGCTATAGTCCCTGTGAGAACTGTTCTATTTTCGTCAAAAGATCTGTTCAGCCTCTCTTCTGCCTCTTTCTGAGCTGGCAGATGCCCTCAGGGAAAAAAGTGGCCTAAATGCTTGCTCATATATTTGAATTTCTGTATAGATGTTGACCTTATAATTTTTTACTATCCTGTTAGCCCTCTGGTGTATTCAAGCAGATTTTAGAAGATTGTCCAGCTTTTCTAGTTGCCTTCAGTAGGCAGGTTGGCCTAAATTACTTAATCTGCCGTTGCTGGAGGCATTATATAATTTTAAAACAGCAGAAGAAAAGAGCCACAGTTAAACTGTAGGTCAGGATCTGTCTGAGTGACACAAAATACTCTTTAGAAAAGAAAGGAAGCATGTATTTTACACATAATTTCAGCCTGTGTGCTTAAAATATACATGTTCTGAGGCAAAATAGAAAATAAAATCTACCTAAGAGATTTTTATCTGTCTGGAAACTATCAAGTTTGAGTTTTATTTATTATTTTTATTTTTTAATTTTTGGTAGAAACAAGGTCATGTTACATTGCCCAGGCTGGTCTCAAACTCCTGGGCTCAAGTGATTCACCTCAGCCTCCCAAAGTGCTAGGATTACAGGTGTGAGCCATTGTGCCTGGCCAAGTTTAAGTTTTATCTTATCAGGAAAAACTATTAATCCTAGATTTTAGTATTGTGGGAAATATGATTTAATTGCCTGGGTGGAATAGGAAATGAAGTGATATTTGAAATGGTTAGTATTAAAACCAAGAGTCCTATAGCTGTTTTCTTACATGTTTTCTGACTCACCTAAGGCTTAAAACATTTTAAAAGTGTACTAAAGTAACTGTAATGTAAATTGGTGAATTGTAAAATTGGTTGTCTTCTGTGATGGTATTGTATATGTCTGGCACTATGTGGTTCTGTCAATTATTTAAGAAATAGACAACCACCTATTTTCCATAGTTATACATTAATGCATGTCAGAATCTATCTCCAAGTTGTTTTTATTATTATTATTATTATTATTATTATTATTTTTTGAGACAGGGTCTCTGTCACCCAGGCTGGAGTGCAGTGGTGTAGTCACGGCTCACTGCAGCCTTAACCTCCCAGGCTCAAGTGATTCTCTAACCTCAGCTTGTGAGTAGCTGGGACTACAGGCATGTGCTACCACGCCCAGCTAATTTTTTGTATTTTTTGTAGAGAAAGTTTTGCCATGTTGCCCAGGCTGGTCTTGAACTTCTGGACTCAAATGATCCACCAGCCTTGGCCTCCAAGGTCTCCGTGGTCACCATGCCTAGCCTCCAAGTTGTTTGTTTGTTTGTTTTTTGAGGTAGAGTCTTGCTCTGTCACCTGGGCTGGAGTGCAGCGGCACAATCTTGGCTCACTATAACCTCCACCTCCCAAGTTCAAGTGATTCTCCTACCTCAGCCTCCCAAGTAACTGGGACTACATGCATGCTTCACCACGCCCAGCAAATTTTGGGCTTTTACCATGTTGGTCAGGCTGGTCTCAAATTCCTGACTTCAAATGACACGCCCACCTTGGCCTCCCAAAGTGCTGGGATTTCAGGCGTGAGCCACTGCCCAGGTTGTTTTTTAAAATGAAGTTTGCAGCTGGGTGTGGTGGCTTACACCTATAGTCCCAGCTACTTTGGGAGGATTGCATAAGCTCAGGAATCTGAAGTCAGCCTGGGCAACAAAGTGAGACTTCATCTGTCTCTAAAAAAGAAAAAGTTTACATTTGCTGTGGTTTATACAGTTTTTTAATGCTGTCTTTTCTGTTCCTAAGTAACATAACTGTAGTACATAACTCGCTCCCTAACTTGAAATAAATGTTTTAGTAGAACTAAATGTTTTTGCATTTTTTAAAGCTTTTTCTCCATGGAAAGCATATTTATTTCTCTTTTGATGATCATATCTTTAAGTGGTAGTTATAAAATAACCTATTAAACTTTTAATGTTTTCTTTACCTTTAATAAAATTGTAAGCATGCTTTAAATTTGTATTTCTGAATTTTTTTAAAAAAGAGTTATGAAGTTGCAACTGCCCTAGAAAATCGAAGCCACAAAGTTCGATATTCAGATTCAGTGGAAAATGGATCAATTATATTTTCTCTTTCTGGTATAGTATATTTGCTCACTGCCTTAAGTTTCTTATGAAATATGTTGGTATAAATTCTAATGCCTTCATAGTTCCGTAACCATATAATGAGCTTAAGATGTTATCTTTTGGGAAGGGTAACTGTGTAAAACTTAGTTACTACAAACTCAGTGCATATGGCCAATTCCAAAATATATTACCTTTTAGATTACAATTGTTAAAATAAAGCTGAACTAGTGGAGTCTGGTAGAAGATGGGAAAAAACTACTTGCTTTGGAACTGAGTGAAAATAGAAAAAGCCACTTACCCAACAATCTATACTTACATGAAAGTATTACTTATATTAACAGAGGCCACAACATTTGTCAAAACTGATATACCAAAAAAAAAAAAAAAAAAAGTTTTTCTTCGATTTGTATTGATTTGTTTGCTGGATATAATATAAATATTAACTAAAAGAATCATGGGGACAAATAAATGTTCATGAAATGACAACTGGTACAACTGTTAGTCATGGACAAAAGTCCAGTAAGGAATTAGATTAGGATAAGAGAAGGCTGGGGAGATGGGAAGGGGGAAGCTCCACCTTTGCTTGAGAAATGACAGAAGTGATCTTTAAAAAGGTAGAGGTAAAGGATTTTATCTGGAGGGTTGCAAATAGACTTCTCTTCTAGCAGTTTTGAAGACAAGCACTTTCAAAAAAGCTCCTAGAATAGATCTCCAGGCTGAAAGTGGTATAGCCTCAAACTCATTCTTCTGGTTAAATACAGAACCCTCCAGGGAGAAATAAAATACTTGGTGAATATTTGCCTTGGCTACTTTATATACATGATCTAATTTAATTCTTCTGACAAATCTAACAAAAAATTTACTCCCATGTTACAGAAGAGGAAACTGACGTTCAGACAGGTTATGTAAGTTGCCCAAGTTTACTCAGTATATAATCACAGTCACTTTCCTCAGACTGTCTCCCACATCGTTTGAAGAGCTATAATCAAGTTTCCCTTTAGGACCATTCTTAATGGCACAGACACTCAGAGATTGCAGATATCTGCTGAGTGTATTAATTTATATAATTCTTTTTTAAAATTTTTTATTTTTTGAGATGGAGTCTCGCTTTGTTGCCCAGGCTGGAGTGCAGTGGCGTGATTTCTGCTCACTGCAATCTCCGCTTCCCGGGTTCATGCCATTCTCCTGCCTCAGCCTCCCGAGCAGCTGGGACTACAGGTGCCCGCCACCACACCCGGCTAGTTTTTATATAGTTCTTTATGTTCTGGTAGAAAGGTTCCCCCAACAAGAAATCACTGAAGGCTTTTTTTTTTTTTTTTTTGAGATGGAGTCGTGCTCTGTCGCCCAGGCTGGAGTGCAATGGTGTGATCTCAGCTCACTGCAACCTCTGCCTCCCGAGTTCAAGCGATTCTCCTGCTTCAGCCTCCTGAGTAGCTGTGATTACAGGCACACGCCACCACACCTGGCTAATTTTTGTATTTTTAGTAGAGACAGGGGTTCACCATGTTGGTCAGGCTGGTCTCGAACTCCTGACCTTGTGATCTGCCTGCCTTGGCCTCCCAAAGTGCTGGGATTACAGGCGTGAGCCACCACACCCAGCCGAAGGCTTGCTTAAGACTCTTTATTTAGCTGATTTCCAGCTTTTAAAAATAATTATAGGAGCTTCTTGGTTGAACACATGCAGGTGTCTGGAGGGTGGCAGGCCCAGAGAAGGCATTGAAGCTCCATGTCCGTTCCCACATACCTAGCCGTATGCGTATCTTCATCTGTATCCTTTGTAGTATCCTTTATAATACACTAGTACATATTTTAAAAGTATAACATGAAAAATTAACTTTTTTAATGTAATTCATCTTAACGAAAAACTACCCAGTATCTTCATGTGGACAATGTCTTCATCTAGGAAAAAAAAGTAGTTACTGATCCAAAAATGTTTTTCTTTTAGCGCAAGTCATTCTTTTATACAGAGCACTTCAAAGAACTACCTAAATTCTGTTGTATAGGAATTTCATTATAGTAATTTCTACTCCTTATGAGTTTAGGGCTTGGACACATATGGTATACTTACAGCTATTTTGGTTGATTCTGAGTTTATAACAAAATTTGATCTCTGTGACAAAGTGACATTTAATATTCAATTTACCTTTCCTAGGAGTTGCATTTTTATTAATGGATACTAAGGAATGTATTCTGTCAACCGAAGAAATATTGCTAGCCAAAATTGAGAAATTTATTAACATTCACCAGAATAGTTTTTTGGTTTTGTCTGCTGCCCTCCATGGGCCTGAAGAATGGAAACTGATGTTCAGAATTCAGCAGAGGTATGGAAGAATAGCATTATAGATGTATTATTTCTTATATTGTATTTATTTCAGTTAATTCTTTTAGGTGAGTTTTGTTTTGCTAGATGATGAACACTGTGATGTTAACCTATCAAATTTAATGAAACATGGGCCAAAAAGGTATTCTATGAATCGAGTTGACAGGGTTCATGGTGCTTCCCGGGCTTCTCCAAGACCAAGCCAAAAGTGAACAGGCTTTTAGTCAGTGGTGTTCTGGCTATAAAGCCATCTCAGATCCTCTGTGGAGTAAGGCAGGGCGTGAATTGCATAGACAAATAACAAACAATAGAGATTTGTCTCTTCTTTCCACTTTGAGAGAACACATGTAAGTTATATGATCTGTATATCATGAATTGTTTTTCAGATTCCTGGGTCGTAACTTACGAATACTTCCAGTACACAACACAGTAAATGCTATTAATCTTATGTGCACTATAGCAAAGGTGAGTCACCTGGGGAATATGACGCATACACATACACATTTTAAGGTTTTTAACTTCCAGTTGTCACCCTTTTGAGCAAGACTGGCAAATATCTTGCTTCTGTTCCCCTGAGGGAGTTGCTGTTTCAGCATGCAACTTTTTCCCAAGCCTGAACTAAGTCTCTCAAGTCTTCTCAATTTACTCCCAGTAGCCACTACCATTTAAGACTCATTTGGGGCCAAAAGAGCATTTGGTTGGTCCTATTGGTTACTTATGTCTTCATTCAAATTCTAAAGTTATAAGAGTTGGTCAGATTGCAGTCATGAACTGTCAGAGTGCAAGCATACTATCTTATGGAATGTCATCTACCAATTGTCCACTTTCTTTTCATGCTTTTTGTCCTCTGCAAAGTGTGCCCAGACACCTGAAACCCCCTGGGCAGACTTAAGTCTTCCTTACTTTTATACTTGGAACATATCCCCATTAAAGCAATTTTTATAGTATTCTACTTTTTGGCTTGCATGTTTGAAATTCCTTGGATAGAAACTAAGTATTTTGCTGTTGACTACTCTAGTAACTCACACGTAGTGTTTAGCACAAAGATGATCAGGAGATTTGCTGAAAGAATGAAAGTTAGTTATTTTTAAATGTGACCCTGTAAAAATATCTTATTTCTGTAAATAATGCTGCATCTTTGTATCTTCTTCCAGACTACCTCCAAACCATACATAGATAGCATTTGCTACAGAATGATAACAGCTAAAGCTTACATCATTGAGCAAAGTCCTGTTTGGAAAACACTTCAGAAGATACAACTGAATAGTGATTCAGTTAACCCAAATTAGAGTACCAACTTAATGCTCTTCTCAAAGAATGTGAAAATAATTAGAACTGTTAAATTATAATCAAATATCTATTTAAAGACATTTATATTAATTTGAAATAACATGTATACAATTAAAAGTGATTTTATTTTAGTTTTGCTGTGAGATTTCTTTAATGCTGTTTAGCAAAGGATTGGTACATACATATAAAACTCAGGTGTAGCTTCTTAGATGGACAAGTATTTAGTAGGAAATAAAAGTAGAGAATTTTCTAATCAGTTTCTTAAAGTCATATGTATTTTTTAGTTTTTTTTCCATAAAGGTAGCAAGTATTTCTAAAACTAATCTTTGCAGATGTTTTCCTATTATAACTTCTGCTGGAGAGGTGGTGATGGGACTCTGTTCCCAAAGACTCCACCTAAGCCAGGAAAAGAGAAGCTAAGAAAAAAGTCAAGTGGCCTGAATTCAAAACTTTCTACTCATTTACACTGCTGTGATAGCCAACATGACACTAGGAGTTCCGAAATGTTACATAGCATCTAACTTCAGCAGAAAATGTATCAGTATTTTTATAAGCTCACTAAAACTGTAGGAATGAATATAGACAATTCAATTACATTTTATGAAGTTACAAAATTATTAGTTTGTATTGGATTTTCAAAAATAGTATTTAGGACATATGTGGGCATTATTTACCATTAGATAACTTTAAAACAAAAAAAACTGTTCTATAGTATATCATTATAGAAATTGATAAATGAGAGAAGCTACATTTATTTTTCAAGCAGTAAATTTTTACAGAAAAATTTTTATAATGGTATTAAATAAATCATAATGGAAAATACTCTTTTATTAGTTTTTACTCAGGAAGTGGAACTTTCACTTTATCCCAATATTTTCTTCAGAGGTAGACTTTGTTTTTATTTCAATGAGTTCTTCCACTCGAGCTAGAACACTTTCAATCAAATCAAATGTGAAAAGAGCTGAATGTAGGACCTGCAATGCCAAGAAAAAGTAGTTATTAATGCTGCCTTTAAAGCCAAACAAAGCAAAACATAGAAAAGATTTCAGCTGGAGGTAGCTCAGGAATATTTAAGACCAGGTACAGTGGTTCACACCTGTAATTTCTGTGCTTTGGGAGGCTGAGGAGAGAGGATTACTAGAGGCCAGGAGTGGGAGACCAGCCTGAGCAACATAGTGAGACCCTATCTCTACTAAAAATTAGCCAGGCATGGTGGTGTGCACCTGCAGTCCTGGCTAATCGGGAGTCTGAGGTGGGAGGATCACTTGAGCCCAGGGAGTTGAAGCTGCAGTGAGCCACAATCATGCCACTGCACTCCAGCTTAGGCAAGACAGCAAGATCCTGTTTCTAAAGAAAAAGGAAAGAAAATTTCAGATCACCTTAAGCTGCATTTCAGGAGGCATATTAGGGATCTCTTCTCCACCTACAGTTATAGAACAAAGATCTTTAGATTTCTGGGCCTCTGTAAGAAAAGAAAAAAATCATGTGTGACACTTAAAAAACTCTCATATCAATAACAAATGTATAAGCTACTTTCATCATTCATTAACTTAAAACGTGTCAGTTATTTGTAAAAATTAAGTCCACTGTTTAACAGCTCAGGGTATACTTAAGCTATAAACAAAGAGAATGAACTATCAAAATTCTGCAACATGTGAATTAATACTTCTTTAGATAAATAGCATTATTTTGGCATGTATAGGATTCATGAAACTATTTTCTTTAGTATATAATCAATTATAGCCATTATACAAAAAAAGACAAAATTTCTGGAAATGCCTATAAAAGCACCACCACAGATATATGGAAGAGATCACATGATTGTTATAGAATTGTTGACTTAAAAAATTCTGGATCTAAGATTTTTTTCATAATTTGTATGGATTTACTTGAGGATGAAATGCAATACCAAAGGAATGCTACCCAAATGGAAAAGCTGTAATACAGATTCTTAGAGCTTAAGGCTTTAAAATATATGCTTTAATTTGGTTTAAGTCTTCATTAACCTGATTTCAGGTAAATTAGCTTATAGATCTGCTAAGAATTTTAACTATAAATAAAATGGCTTAGCTGTTATGGTCTCTAAACAAGTATAAGATTTTTAAAAAGTTCTTAAATTTGAGTATGACAGTTGCAAAATTGGACTACTTTTTATACCTAACTGAAAACAAAATTGTACATTACCAACCTTGGCTATTTTTAATTTCTGCTTCATAATGTGCTTTTGACATATTAAGTCCTATATGAAGTGGCTTTAAGAAATTATTCTCAATATTTCCAAGTTCTGTCCATAATCCAGTCTGTTAAGAATAAAAGAATGAGTTATTTAGTTCAACAATGATTGACTGCCTACTACTATTAAACATGTTAAAAGCTCGCAAAATAAAAATAAATGATACATGGCCCTTTTCACAATGGACTTCACTATTTACTAATTACATTTATTACTGTATCTAGTTATTTGAATACTAATGAAAAGAAAAATGTACTTGGGGCACTACGCTTATCACTGCACCACTTGGATAGCTCCTGGTTTTGAGATCTGTTAACTTAAGATTTATGAGAAAATTATTTGAAGATAAATTCACAGACATCTCTTCCTCTATGAGCCATCCCCACAATGACTCTACCTTATTTATGCCTTCATCCTATGTATGTCCTTTCAATTGATATCCTCACCACGGATCTAGTTCTAGAGGATGCTTTCCCTTTCCTACTGATGGAAACTTTTCTAATATCCAGCTAATTTGAACCTCCTTGGTGACCAAAGTAGGTGAAGATTTTATCTGTCGAGGACAGCTTATTTTGTCATGTATCTTAGAGGTTTTTATTCCAAGAGCATTTTCTCTTACAGTACTTGAAGGAGAGGAGTCATGAAGTCTTAATTTTATTTTAAAAAAGAAAAGAAAATCCATTGGTACTTCTGAGTTTCCAGGTACTCTTTACAAAGGAAAATATCTTAGATAAAAAAGGGAAACTGAGGGACCCAATTTATCCTTAACTAGAATAATGAACTACTTGAGAACCTATTTTGTAATGAGCTTATTTTGACCCAAGTAGTATATAACATGTTACTTGTAACATTCCAAATAAAATCTACACATGTCTATGAATAACTGATAATGTCTCACATACATACTTTTCATTTCAGTCATCTTTTCTTATTTCTCCTATACTAACAGGAAAAGTAGAATTCTAGAGAGGATCTAAAACCCTCAAAAATATGCATACCTTTTCACTCAGCATCTAAAAACTTACCTTGGGGAAATAAAGATGGATGTTATAATTCTACTGCAGATGTTTTTAAAAATGTTTAGTGAAACATTAGAATTAAAATAACTCACGACAGGAGATTCATAGTAAATTGACACATTAACATAATGGAAACACTATACAGCCATTAAAATATTGTTTTTCAGTACATATTGGTGAATGGGAAAAAAGGTTATAAAACAGTGTGATTCTTTTAGTATGATCTCATTTTCTTTTTAAAAAAGAAAAAATGTACAGATGTATTAACACAAAACCTAGAAGGGAATACAGTATATCAACATTGGTGTAATTTTGATTACTATTCTTTTTTTATCTTGATTTTTAAATAATGGATGTTTTAGTTGTATATTTTTTAAATTGTTAAGTGGAAAGTTTCCTTAACCTCTCATGGCAAATTTGGGTGATATGCAGCAGGAATTTCCTTAACCAGTGTAGTCACACAGTATAACAAGCATATTAGTCTTATGTGCACCGACTGCTCTCATTTCTCCTATTTTTACCTCTATCCTTTTTCTTTTACTGATACATGATATTTTACATATTTATGGGTGCATGTATTTGTTACATGCATAATATATATAATAATAAAGTCAGTATTTGGGGGATCCATCCTCTTGAGTATTCATCATTTCTATGGGTTGGTAACATTTCATGTCCTCTCTTCTAGCTACACTGAAATATAGAATATATTGTTGCTAATTATAGTCACTCTAATGTGCTGTCAAGCAATACAGCTTGTCTTTTATCTAACCCTGTTTGTGCCCATTCACCAGCTTCTCTACATTTTCCCCTCCCATGCTCACACTCTGGTATCATTCTATATTCTGTATCCACGACATCACGTTTGTCCGCTCACACATGTGAGAATATGTGATACTGTCTTTCTGGGCCTGGCATATTTCAACATAATGACATGTAGGTCCATCCACGTTGCTGCAAATAAGCTTTTATTCCTTTTTACGTCCAGGCTTTTCTTCACCATTTTGTATTCCCTGCCCCCCAACTTTTTTTTTACTTTTTACTTTGCATTCACCTCTGGGTTTATAGGCAGAACTCACTGCAACCAATGGCTTTCAAGACTAGGTTACTGATGACTCTCTTACCCACTAAAGCACATTTGAACATAAAGGGTATGGAGAAAACACCTAGCTTTGACAAAAGGAAACATTTTATTATATTTACTTTTAAAAAATAAAATACTAGATATGGCTGGAATCCCCTTTATTCAAGAGGCAGCCATTAGCTAAAACTTGAATGTTTTGCATTCCTAATGTATCACTTAATTTTTCATGTTTAAAAGCATATAAATGATATCATACTGTATATAACCTGCTTCAGCTTCCTTTTTCTTTGTCAATCTTAAGTTTTTGACAGTTATTTATGTTGTAGCTCTAATTTCATTTTAATTGCTGCATACACATTCCATTATATGGAATTTATCCTGTTACTAAGTTTTTAGTATTTCAAAATAATGCAGCATTTACATTGCTGTATGTTTTCCTACTCACACAGGGTAAAAGTGTTTCTAGGATACTGTTTTTCAAATTATTTTTGCCATGACTCTCAGTAAAAAATAGGTTTTACATCACAACTCAACACACATTTATTTATATAGTTGAAATAAAAGTTTTCCCTCAAATCCTTTCCATATAACACATTTAATCTTAATACTTTAATGTAGAAAAATGGAGAATAAGCGATTCAAAAACATCAGAAAGATTTTTATATAATAAATGAGTGTGCTTGACTGCTCATGATGTAATTTCAGTCTAATCCACTACTGAGCCTGGTTCTTTTTGTTTCTTTTTCAAAGTCAGGTCTGTTGTGGTATTGATTATATACAGTAAAATATAACCTTCTAGCTATACAGTTCTGAGCTTTGACAAAGATATATGGTGATATAAAGTCAAGTAACCACTGCTGCTGTAAAGACATTCCCATGACCCAGAAATTTTTGTGCCCCTTTGTAGTCAGTTTCCTCCCACCTCCAGCAACCAGCAATCTGATTTTTGTTAATGCAATTTTTGCCTTTTCCAGAATGCCATAAGTGGAATTAAAACCCTTCATGGCAGAAATTGACAAAATTCTAAAATTTATACAGAAAAGGTAAAGGATTTAAAAATAGCCAATACAATTTTGAAAAAGAAGAACAAAGTTGGCAGACTCACATTACTTCAGTTCAAGACTTCCTAAAAAGGAATAAAACAGAATAATTTCTTCCTATAAAGGAATCAAGACAATGTGGTATTGGTAAAAGAATATATATAGGTAAATGGAATAGAGTCCAAAAATAGACCCATACTTATAAAATGATTTTTGACAAAGTTGCCAAGATAATTCAGTAAATTAAGGATAA